TACTCATTAGTTGGACCAACCCAGAGACTGACTCATATGAACCAAATGTTGGTGATTAAACAACCATTTAACCCCCAAATTTCCCAAACATTGCAATGTGTGAAATTAAAAAGGCTTTACAGGCCATTAAATCACCACTTACACTGCATGGAAAACTAATGTTAGTCATGGAAAAGGTCTCGTTGAGAACAAGTGGGAATGTTCTGTGTTCCTTTGTTAAATTTTAGCACCACCTGTTTATTTGAGCGAACATCCAGTACAGAGGGAACATGGTGTCCAACTCTTTATAGCCGCTTTATTGCTCCTTAGAGGAACCAGTACAGGACTACTGGACCTCATAAACTCTCCATAAGTCCACCCACGCCATGACCCTTGGGACTATGTGTGTATGACTGTACGTGAAAGCTCACGTGTGGGTAAATCACCGAAAAAAAACATTAAGAAATAGTCGTTGCAGTGGTAGCACACCCATGGGAGCAACACTTTCTGTGGCAGCAGAGCCATGGGGGGTAAAGGATTTGTTGACTGGTGTAATTGTGGTTGGTTTTGTGGTTTTGCTTTTTATTTCTTTTCTCAGATAAACAGTACCAAATGTTCTAGTTAAGGATGGGTGTCAACAGAAACAGTTGTGTGATATTGCTAAAAACACAATGTCTCTTTTAAAATCTCAAAAGGGAATCCTGAAAAGTGAAACGTGTTCCTCACATCACGTCATGAAGAACATAGATCATGTTACAATAAACTGTGGCCTCAATGTCATAGCCCCCATCCCAGCATGTGACGCTAACGTTAGCCTCTTCTCAATAATTAGGCTAAATTTAGCCAACATGTCGCATGTAACATTAGCCACTTTTCACTAAAGAAGCTAAGTTAGCTAACATGTGAAGCAAACTTTAGCACCTTCTTACTAAAGCAGCTAAAGTTAGCTAACATGTGAAGCAAACTTTAGCACCTTCTTACTAAAGCAGCTAAAGTTACTTTAGCCTCTTTTCACTAAAGAAGCTAAGTTAGCTAACATGTGAAGCAAACTTTAGTGTATTCTCACTAAAGCAGCTAAGTTAGCTAACAAATGAAGCGAACGTTAGCCTCGTTTCACTAAAGCAGCTAAAGTTACTTTAGCTTCTTTTCACTAAAGAAGCTAAGTTAGCTAACATGTGAAGCCAACTTTAGCCTATTTTCACTAAAGAAGCTAAGTTAGCTAACGTGAAGCCAACCTCAGCGTAAACCCCCCACAAAGCTGAATCTAGCTAGTATGTGAGGCTACCTTTAGCCCCATTTAACTAAAGAAGCTAAATTTAGCCAACATGTGAAGATAACTTTAGCCTCTTCTCACCTCTCTCAAGGGTCCTGTCTATTCAAGGCGTCCCACAAACACAATATTTTCAGAGCCAACATTAAAACCAGGCTCTGTCACATGTTTTTTTTTACATATTTTTTTATATATATTTTTCACCAGAAGAGAGGAAGCGCGGGGGTGGTGCAACTCTGACCTCTCAACCTTCGACCCCAAGAGCCGAATTTTCCATGCAGGACTTTAGGAGGGTTTCAGTAAGAGCTGATTATCTTCTCAGGCTCCCCCACCACCAAATAAACACACAGCGCATTTATCAGCCACAAACATAAACACAACAGTTATGCAAGCCGTCTAAGGGTGTTTGTTAATATGGTATATGATTGTTTAGGCACATCTTCCACTCAATTGAACTGGCTAAATGCATGAACACAGTTCACTCCTCTTTTTCCCATGCTTGGTCAGCGCTTTGCAAACAAAAAAGTCATTGCCGTGTCATTTTTCTTGCATTTCGACACATTATAGCCACAAACGTTAATGTATTTTTAATGGGATTTTATGCAACAAACCAACAGACAAGAGTATGGCTGTGAGTAATTCAATTTAAAGCCGAAAATCCAAAGTCTGTTTGAAAACATTAATAAACAAACTGCATGAAATATCCAGGAACACAGGAGGCAATAGAGATGCAGCCAAAGAGCAAAAAGGAAAGCTGTTGTTGAAACTAAATCTCTTTCGCAGTGTGAAATACGGTGGTGGCAGGATCATGCTTAGTCCAGCAGGGACAAAGAACCTGGGCAGAGTTGATGGGAAGATGCGTTTTCAGAGCTGCTTTGATAAAAGCACATTACTTTTATAAAATGGCCCAGTCAAAGCCAAGATCTAATGCAATTAAAAATAGTTTTTACGTACACTGCAAAACCACAAAATCATACCAAGTAATTTTGTTCTCGTTTCTAATGCAAATACACTTGAAATAACAAGACATTTTTACCATATTATAAATGAAAACGTTTTCATCAATATTAAGGAATTATTGATGTAAAACGAGCTCCTATATCTCACTGAAAAGTTACTTGCAAGTTAGTTTTTTCTTATTTCAAGTGCACTAAGATATTTGCAATAGAAATTAAACTAAATTACTTGGTATGATTTTGTGGTTTTGCAGTGTATTCCCAACCATTTCTGGCCAGTTTGCAAGAATCAACAAATATTTCAGCGTCTAAATATTCTGGGGACATACGTAGTGCTAAAAACACGAAATCAGTCAATACGAAAGTATTGATTTTGTTGTGTGAATCTAAATGTGATGGTTCACAATAATCCACTACTGCTGTGTGGTTCACAGACTGAAATCATCCTTCTGCCATTAGTCAAGAATAAATGCTTCCTGTATATCATTTGTAAAACTTTTATACTTTTTCTCAACATCAGGTCTTAAACCATAATTGTCTCATGTTTTCTGTCTGAGCAACCTTTGACGAACGACGGGCACAAAATAAAGAAACGCGTGATTGTTTTAATCCCAAAACGGTGAAAAAATAATTAGCAGGGATCTGGATGTCCAGTGGGGCCTTGGCGGGGGTCACGGGGGGGTTGACGCTCTCTGCTCTGCTGCCCTCCGTATCTGCAGCCTGCGCAGGCTCTCCCCGTCTCTACATCCATGTGTTCGGGTCATCAGGCAAACGCATATAAACACTCTCTCCCACACACGATCCAACTTGTAAATCTCTCAGGCTTGTAATTTGCCCTCCTTGAGATTAGCGTGTGTTGCCTGACTTCCAACGATGTACAGTAAAGGAGGCTGCCGCGCTCTGCAGGCCGGTTTAATTGATCCGACTGCCGGCTGCATGCAGGGAAGCTGCCACTCAAAATGCTGACACAGGTCGGAGGAGTCGCCGTGAAATGAAATGTGCGAAGAGTGCGTAGGTGTTTGACAAAGATTACATTACTTCTTGACAACTCGTTAGTAGTTGTGGAAGTGAAGTGCTTCCTTTCGCTGGTAAACATATTTGTACCGTGATTATTATCCTGTTGCCGGCTACCGCATTCTTGATTTACTTCATATTGATGTTCATTCACTAAGGGGTTTAATACTTGCATATTTGCCACAGCAATGTATATATCTGCAGCAATTACAAAGATATATTATTTTTCAAAAATTTAAGTGCTCCTCTCAAAAAACAAGACTGTCTTTTTGTATGTTGGTTTTTTTTTCTTCTAGAGTTAGTTTTAAATATATGGACCAACAGGATATTGAGTTGGATTTTGAATAAATAAAGTCAGATACTATTTAAAACAAGAGCTGAAGTCTCATCAGGTCTTTCATGTTAATGAGATGCTAGATCTCAATTAAAAAACCTGGATAAGGATTAAATTTTCAGTATGTATTTTCCAGGCACATAGTGTCTAATCAAGTTGCTATGGTAACCTCAGTTGTCATAAAAATGCTAAATATATATCAAAAAGTCATGTTTGATATATTTATAAAAATATAAATATATATATATCTGATCAAGGCGATGCCTTGAAATTGGGTCTCTGTCTCTTTAAGAAGCTTCTGCTCTTTCAAGCACTGCCTTCACAGCGTGTCATCACAACATCACCTGATGAGGAAATAACTTTATAACCTAATATAAACCTAAAAAATGTTGATAAAATAATAATACATGTGTATCATAATAGTATACATAAAGTAAATATGTTTTTAATTAAACTTAATTTTATACATAATTTAAATGAAACAATATTTTGAATTATTAATAAATCCATGAACCTGTTGAGCCTAAACCAAAAGTCCAAAAGGGTTAGCAATTTGGGATTTACTTTTCAAAATAAAAGCTTTACTTTGCAGAGTATCTCACAGATTAGATTTAGAAACTGAAAGTTTTACAGAACTACTGAAACAAAACTCGTCAACAGTTTGTATATTTTATTCTAGTTGTATACTAATTATAACATCTACTTATGTTTGTCTGGTTGTTGATGGTTGATAGCATGGAAAGTCCTCTATGAACATAATCTGACTAATTAATAAGAATATATATATACTGGAGTCTTAAAATGAAGCCTGAAGATTAATTTGTTTCTTTTGACCCATTTAATCACTACAGTTTCTGGAACTTAACCAGTAAAAGCAATGGGTTTATACTGGCCTTTGGAAAAAACAAAAGGAACTCTTCAAAATAAAACTCTTGCTATATGTCATGCACGTCTTCCGAGCCTGAAACAGTCATATCACCAAAAAGGGAGAAGATAGAGCATGAAATGTTTGTTGACTAGATTATTTTTGAAATACTCCTTAAAAGAGCAATGTTGATCTATGTTGGGTCACTGCTGAGCAACACGTCAACGTTTAGGCGACAGTTTGGGCCAGAACCGTCCAAGAGGAAAGCACCAGGACCAGGAATCTCTCTGGTTGGTGCAAAGCTGAGAGTTCTGAGGTTATCTGTACAAGTATGCAAAGAGAATGTGGGGTCTGCTGCAGACGCTGCGGACAGACAGCATAACAATCAGACCTGTGTATTTTTCCTTCCAGGTAATAAGACGTTTCCGTCCCCAAAGATGTGTTTTATATGAGTAAATATAGATATTCTTAAGCTGAAAGCCGGATCTTTGAGTACCTCTTTTACCTCACAGAGCTGCAGGGCACGGCCATACTTGGGTTTTCTCTTTTTTTTTTTTTTTTGCAGTATTGGTCCGTTATCTGCTGTTTCTGTTGGCCTGCAATCCAACATGACGTTCTGTTTTTAGTTGCTGCATGTCACGACCAGAAGCCTTTGGCCTCTGCCAGTCTCTGTGAGTTTACGTTTGCCTGCGTGTATGAGATCCGATTAGTTTGAAGTGAAACATCTGAATGGGACAATAAGTGAAATCAGGGGTTCACAGGCAACGCATGTTGTTTTTGCATATTTTAGTGTGATCCCTTACTTACAAGTGTGTTAGAGCAACTGCGCATACCCAGCATGCCAGAGGGGGAAAAATATGGTTTTATTGAGTTGTTTTTGGTTCAGAGAGCATAACATTTCAATTTGAAGAGCTGGAGCTCTTCAACAGGCGGAGCATTCCTGATTTCTCACGTCCCTACCGTCAAAATTGCATCACGTCCATCCTTCATCCTCGCTGTCAACTTTCCCACAGCTACTGGCGCAGGAATGTCGCGTTCCTGGTAGACTCTCTGTGGATCACGTTGCACATGTACGACACATTTGATCACGCGACTTCAATGAACGCACGTCAGGTAGAGATTAAGCACACCCCACGTGCGAGCCAGGAGGAGTGCGTGCTGGCGCTTGTTGATCAAAGGAGGTGTGATGCAATCAGTCTCGGGGCTGTGGATGCATCCCTCATCAACTTTCACCGGAGGCTTTAATGAAAACCCACTGGAGGGAGTCTCCGCTGTTGCTTCCCTTTGCCTTCTCATCTTCTCGTTCACTCCCTGCAGTTCCAGAGTGTCCTCCTCCTCATTCATCTCCCAGGCTGCGCCTCCCTGCCTTCTCCCTCTTGTCCCAGTAGCCGGCTTGACTTCCGCTGAGACAGAGTAAATATTTCTCATGGCTTATCTGACCAAAGAGACAGAAAGCCACAGAGCATGTGAGGCTCTTATAATTAAACCACCAGCCGCCTGCGTTTGATCAGGCCTGGATGTCCTGACAGGTACGGTCGGGCCTTTAGGTTTGACACACCACGAAACCCCCAACTGCAACTGCTCAGAGCTCATGTGTCTGCATCCAATCTTTCAGCTATTAAACCAGCGCACATCTTGACTTGATTTTCCTAAGTTTGGCTTGTTCTGACTGAGGGTCCAGGAAGGGGGAGGTAGAGGATAAAGAGGGAAACATTATGCAGCAAAGAGAGCGACTTTTCTTCTCCGCAATGACTGAGGTGTGACGTGCAGCAACTTCCCTGTTGTGCAATCGTCAAGAGGCTCTCAGGGGGCTATAAGATCTCCGTCCTCATCTGGTTTCTCAGAGCCTCAGATCTGCTCCCTCTGCTCACGCCCAGACTGACGGAGAGGCACTATACAGTCCAGCGCACTCGGCTGGGCGCAATTCTCTTAGAGGGTCGAGCAACATTTGTCAAGATATGGACTTTAGCCAGAAGAAGCACTGAAAAGCTCCTGGCTTTTTCTGCTGGATACTCGGTCATATCAGGTAAGACATTATTTGTTTTTCCGGGATGGAAACGATAAGATCGTTTGCCAAGTTTTATCTGATTTCAGACCTGGCACTGGAAAATCTATAGTCATGTTTCTATCACTTATTCAGCTGTCTTATCATAATTACCAGTTAGATTTTCATTAGAAAAAGTACTTTTCCTAAAGTAATTTCTTTTTTGAAATTGTAATGGCTGCTTTTAAACTCTTCATTAATTATTAGTTTCACCCCTTGTGTTTTCCACTTTAATAGTTTCGGTTTCTGGGATTGTTATTATTTCTGTAAACCTATTAAATAGTAAATTAAGCTTGCTCTTTTTTCATTTGAAGTCATGAATGTTTGATGAATTCAGTCATTAACACAATAAAGCTGTTTCGCAGCAACCCAATAGGCAGCCAGATTAATACAACCTTTTCCAAGATACTTTATTATGGTTTAACTTCAAGCATTGTGTAATGAATTCCTTCTGTAATTCTTTATCAAATGGGACAGCTAATAAACGACGGCGCCAACTAAAGATTACAGCGTAGGGAAACATAGCCGTCCGTAAAAAGCAGCCTTGGTCTGAAAACTCTCCTGCTTTGTGTTATTTCCAGCTGACCTTGGAAATCTGAAAGAATTTGAAGTCACGTCTTCTGACACGAGGGAACATCTGGTTCCATAATGGCAATCCCAAGTGGCCTCTTCTTTTTCAACTCCACATCCTCCCCGTTTCCAGCGCCAGAGGTCTACGTGAACACCTCGTCGGTTCCTTCCGTTCACCACTGCCAAGACTGGGTTCCGGTGTCCATGACGACAGTGATCCCCACCATCTACGGCGTCATCTGTGTGCTGGGTACTCTGGGCAATGCCTTGGCGGTGTATGTGTTGGCTTGTGGCAATGCCCTCACGAGAACGGTGGCGAACACCTTCATGCTGAACCTGTGCATCTCCGACCTGCTGTTCCTGTTGACTCTTCCACTGTGGGCCGTCTACTACTCCTGGGGCTATAGCTGGCCCTTTGGACGAGTGGCCTGCAAAATTTGTGGTACTCTCCTAAACCTCAACCTCTACGCGTCTATTTTCTTCATCACGTGCATGAGCGTAGACCGTTACCTGGCCATCGTGCATCCTCTCCTCTCGCAGAGGTCGCGGGATTACGAGCGAGCCCGGATCGTGTGCATCCTGGTGTGGGTTCTGGCGTTTGCTTGCTCTTCCCCCCACTTGGCCTTCAGAGAGACCCATCATCTTAAAGAATTTGATGTAGTGGCTTGTGTGGTTTTTTATCCAAATGACACCTGGTTTCTGACCCTGGGCTGGATGAAGGTCATTCTGGCATTTGTGGTGCCGCTGCTTGGCATCTCCTGTTGCTACTGGGCCATTGGGAGACATTTGTTGGCCTACAGAGGATCAGCAAGAATGCAAAATTCACCACCTCCTCAAGCAGGTAATTGTAAATCAGAACGTCCGCCGACTCCTACTGTGCACCCAAATTCATGCACGACCGGACCCATGATGGCCCGCGGGGTAGAGAGGATTTTGTGGACGGTGGCTGCTGTGGTCATGGCTTTCTTCATCTGCTGGTTCCCCTTTCATTGTGTGACCTTCTTGGACCTTTTGAGTAAAAATGGATGGCTGGACAGTTGCTGGGTAACTTGGACCGTCACCAACCTGACCCCACTCACCCTTTGCCTCGGCTTCTCCAACTCTGCCATCAATCCTGTGCTCTACTGCTTCGTCGGGAACCATTTCCGTGGTCGCCTTGGGGGTCTCTGCAAAGACCTGTGTGCTTGTTTGGAGGCCCGTGCGGATCAGCACAGTCAGAAAAGAGGTTCTTTCAGCACCAGGCTGAGCTCCTTCTCCAGGAAACTCAGTGACCTTAAGGACCTGGCGATTGTGGATACCTCAGGTACCCTGTAACAGACTTTTTCCATCCAGCACTGGGAAATATTGACATTCCAAAGTATTAATATGAACTGAAACTTCCAGGCTTGGTTTAAGATGCTGGTTTTATGTATAATAATACATAATATTTCATATTACATGTTTTTGAAAGGAGTACAAAAGTACATCCTAAAAATAAATGGCTAAGAATGCTCAGAAGATGAAGTGGGACATAAAAGTAAAATTGTAAAAATTAAAAACTAATTAAAAATGACCAAAAAAGAGAACATGTGAAGAAATAAGCATGTTGAACTTTAACATTCACTTTTGTCTTAACTGTGCTGGTAGTATGTTTGTCTCTAACGTTGTGACAGTACATAAAAATAAAATAAGCATTTTCAAAACGGTTTGAAACATCTTCATGATTGATAAATTTGCCCAACAAATTCTCAGTATTATTCTGTAGTTCAGGCTAAATTAGGATCTATAGCCTGGACTTGTCTGTGTTACGTAACTTGTGATATTAATTATTTTTTCTCCCCCACACACTCTAAATGAGTCGGTAGCGACAGAAGGTAAATTGATATATTCTAACAAAAAAAAACCAAGTAGTACTTAAATTTAGCTTTAGCACTGATGTCTAGCTGGGATAGAAACAAATATTCGACATCTCAGTCACATTTCCTGATAAAATTATGCTTTTTAGACTGAAGGAAAGAGTGGATAAATAATGATAAATAATTTCATCGTTAAATTGAAAAACAAGCAAATCTATTAGGAAGAAAAATGAAACTAAAGAAGTTTTCAAATGTTTTTTGTCATGGGGTCAGTTTTAAAGCCTGGCGGTTTAACACGGGGGTGTCCACTTTTGAAAGCAAATGTGTTGACGTAATTGCTGTGTTTCCTGCTTTCTGAAATGTTTCCTTTCTTGTTTCATAACCATATTTTATGTGGTAAAGTAAAATGTGAATCAGTGGTTGCTGTAGGAACCGGTTCCATGTGTCTGTACATATGCTAAAATCAAAAGGAGATGCTGCTGGATTATACATGTATGCCAACATTAGCCTGGCAATCCAATACATCTTGCAGTGTTGTTGACAAAAAACCTGTTTATTTACCGCAAATATATCATTGTATTGCTTCTTATGGACAGTTTATTCAGCAAATAAAGAGAACAAGTGTTCATCAAATCAGTGGAACTGTTTTGTGGTTAATTATGGCACTTCCATGTGATTTAGTAACAGTCAGATACATACAGAGATTTTTAACTTTCATTTCCCCCCCCAGTCTTCTAACCATTGTGGTTGAGAGCTTCTACACACTACTCTGAGATTATATCCACTTGACAGACAGACACTCAGGTTAAAATTTCCTCTCTTCCCAGAGTGCTCCACTTGGTTTCACTATCTATAATGTCAATGATAGATAATATTGTAATCTCATACCAGTGCCACGGTGATGCGTTCCTGCATTCGAGCCTCTTTTGTCCGTCAAGTGCTACTATTTGTGTCCCCGTTTCAGATGAATCCTGACCTGGACTCTGTAAGGTGATGACAGAAAAAAAAATAGTAACATAAATAATAAAACAATAAATTAGCAAAACTTAAAAAAAGGTATTATCTAAAAATTGGCTCAATAACAAACATTAATTGCTGCCAGTTTTCAAGAAACGGGTGTGTGGGACTTTCACGTTCTGACCACTGGGTGGTGCTAAAATGCTGCAGAAGCAATAGGAGAGCTGGAAGAGCCGGGCCGCGGAGACAGGGGCCCAAACTCCCACCGCTCATGATCTGCGGGAGGCAGTGAGAAGCAGCCTCTGACACAGACCATGATTCATGTGGACCACAGCTTTGAATCAGTACAAACACGTCGACTTTAACAGGCGAGGCCAAAAGGAGAGAACCAGCAGCCCCAGTGAACATCACAAGATGGAAAAAAAAAACAACAACCCCGCAATAAGGGAACTATTTTTTTTCTTACTTGATGGTGTGAAGGGCTTTGTAGTAGTTTTGATCACCATAAACATCCAAAAATAGCAAACTGTGAATATTATTCTTAAAAGCCACTTTGCTGCAAGCGTATAGGAAAAGCAACACGGCAGCAAACGGCAGAGTCCCAATTTAACACAGCAGAAGTTTTGCGACTGACAGGACAGATTGCAGGATGAGTTTGTTGTGCACACAGCTTCATTAGCTGATTCCTCTTTGTGTGACAAAGCAGCTGGGTGTTTCCTAAACACATGTTTAACAGAAGAATGTTATCTGCGAAAAGTTTTCTGAGAACATGTGTGAGGCGCCTGCTGAGAAAAACAAGAACTCTCTCAAGCTGTAGGTCAAACATTTAGCTTACTTTTATTGCTCTTGAAGCCTATGGAAGTTTGTTAAGACAAGAAAAGTTACGAAATGTGCGTCCTTTGCTCTCTGTACTCTGTAGATTATCAGTACGACAAGTAGATTCAGATTACCGGTGCAAACATGCTTCAGCTTCGTACAAATACGATTGTGTAAGCTCTAATAGTCATTTATAGCCCTGGAGCACAAACTTTAATTTACTCTATTTGGATTTCGTTAGACTGGGATACACAAGGTCTTACATAACTGTACAAACGGTGTGGTTTTTGTCATGTTTTACAAACAAACGTCTGAAAAGTGCATGTATTTAGTCCCAACAAAAGTCCACCTTTTGTTGAGCGTCTCTTTGGGGTCGTTCTCAAACGGCTTTTCACACCCAGATACATAAAAGTAGCTCAGGTTCAGTCAGAGAGGACAGAGGACAGTCATTTTTCAGGTTTCACATTTGATTCTCAGATAAATTTACATCTGGACTTTGACTAAGCAACTTAACTAATGAATTCGCCTTGAGGGGAAACGAAGTGCTGGTCGTATTTTAGACTCGTTTTCTCCCAGAACTGCCCTGTGTTTAGCTCAGTTCATCTTCCAATCAAGACCGACTGTCTTCCCCTGATGCCACTAAATAAAAAGCATCCCCACAGCCTGATGCTGCTCCCACCATGTTAAGCCAACAGGGTGGATGGTGTGTTCAGAAAAATGTACAGTGAAATACTTACTCACCCACACTTTTCAGATTTGTATTCACGAAAAAAGAAGAAAAAGAAAGAAAAATCAAAAACTACTTTCATTTTTTGTTTCTCTTCACAGGTATGAACTCCTTTATGTCGGCCGGTTGCACGGAAACAAAAAATGAAATTCACTGACGTTTTGCGGTTGTAATGTTACTTTTGTGGCTTAAGAAAAATCCAAAAATAATCTGCAACTTTGATTGTTTTCTTTTAAAAAAAAGTTTAAATCTTTCTTGAGAACTTAATTCAGTAAATTCAACAAGATAGAGAAAACGTTCCCAACATCAACACCAGGCCTTTTCTCATCTACATAAGTTCTGTATTTCATTACACTACAGACTCTACTTTTTACACCGATGTATGTGTCATCCAGGTGTAGGTGAGAATCATACCATCAAATAAAATAAATGCTTGTTTGCTCAAGATTTTTGGAGGTATAATTCTGTATTATTTCCCTAGAAGACTAAATAAAGTTATGCAGTGATCGGACTGCTCTTCCATAACCAGAAATATTTATTCAAAACTGTATTTTCTTCACCAAAATCCTCCTCAGCAGATTGATTGTACATCATTATTCATGGAAACAGAACAAGCAACCTTCTGTTAATCAAACAGCGATGGAAAAAAAAAAGTTTCACTCCACATGCATAAATGCATAATGCATTTTCTTGTGTGAAATGAGAAATTTTACCTTTGTTCATCCCTCTCTTCTGCCTCTTTTTTTTTTTATTGTTGTGGAAATGTTCCGTTAAGCATCTTTGAAGTTATTTCCTGTTGCAAAATACAATCGTTTCCTGACAGAAATGCAAACCCACAATTTTGGTGTGTGCATGTGCGCGCAACGCTGTGCCTCATAAAGACAGAGGAAGGTTGCGAAGGCACCAGATCAGAAAGGTTAGAGGTTAGACGGAGTGACTTTCAGCTTTTTGGAAGGTGAGGTGGAAAAAGGAGATCTTTAAAACAAAAAAAGAAGAAGAAGAAGGTCAAGGTCCTCGTCTGAAGCTGAAATTCCCTGAGCAGACGTTTGAGAAGCAAAAGGCCGGGGAAAAAAAAAAAAAAAAAAAAGAAACTGCTGTACTTGTGCAGCTCTCAGAGTGGAAGACAAAAAGGGCTCGCCTGCAGTCAGAGAGCAGAGACAAAGAGAACAGCGCTGGCACTTAGGAACGGAGCAAAAGGCACAGTTGGAGGAAAGCGGTGATGGAGAACCTGACCGTCTACCACGGACCCATCGGCAAGGAGGAGGGCGAGAGGCGGCTGGGCCAGGACGGGAGAGACGGGTGCTACTTAGTACGTGACAGCGACTCGGTGCCGGGCGTCTTCTGCCTCTGTGTGTTGTGAGTATCCAGCCTCTTGGCTTTTCTCCTCGTTCTACAGCAACGCAGTTTCATGAAAATCCTCAAATTCCCGTCTTCTGGCAGTTCTACGGAATCGTTTAGAAACCTGCATTAAGCCAGATAACCCAAGCAGTTTCTGTCATCTGTTATCAGAAGCTGAAAGTGAGTCTTGCTGGAGAACTTGTGTCATTAAAAATAAAAAGAAGATGAGCTCATCGTCTCAGATAGATACTAGATGGTACTAGAAAAATGTGCCCTTCTGAGATCTTGGACATTTTTTTCTTGTTGTTTTTCTGGTTTTACAGCATGTTATTTTTTTTGTAAATTGAAGATTTGAAGGCTGTTTGTGAGTCTAAGAATTTCATAAAGTGCATCCTTGTTTTCAGTTTATCTGAAAGACAGCATCAACAGCAAAGATATCCACTTTCCTGTGTGAGTGTATGCAACTAAGCAGTCAGATTTAACAAAATTATGCAGTCAAGACTCTACCAGCAGGTCCATGTGTCACGCAAGGTGCCATTATTTTCCACTTGAGCACCTTCCCACACCCTCCACTGAAAAAGAAAAAAAAGAAAAAAAAAAAAGTCTATGTACGCTCATTCTCAAAAAAAGTGTGTTTGTGTTCAGGTGCAAAGGATATGTCTACACGTACAGACTCCACAAGGACGAAGCGGGCTCGTGGGCTGCAGAAGTGAGACATCTTTTCTACTTCTTTTTGTTGTTTTTTTATTGTTAAATTTTTGCTTTTATCCTGACACGTTTTGCACCAGAAACACTCACCCAAGGAGCGTGGCAGCTGCACGTCTGCCTCGCTGCGGTTGCTGTTTATTAGGTTAGAAGTTGTTTTTGTGTCGGAGTAATTCAACAAGCTGCGGATCTGAGGCAAACATGTTTTCTTTCTCTGTTTTTTCCCCCCGTTTTGCTTCTCACTCTCACACTCTCCCTCTCTTTCTTTCTCTCTCTCTCTCAATATATATTTGAGATGTGACAGCACAGAGAAATGGGTGCATTTCTTTTCCTTCAGCAATATCACCCTGTAAGCAGTCTACACCCCCCTAAACCCTCACTCCTCAAAATTTGAAGACGGTGTTTCTGATGGGATGCGTAATTGTGCGTCATCTAACGTTGAACGTATGGAGACATCCGAGTTGCCCCTCGATGTCTCCATACGACATCTGAGGCAGGATGCAGCCTCTAGGGCTGCGTTTTCACAGCTAGCGCCAGGCTGGACGTCAATGACAAGAATTCCCCTACAAGCCCAATAACACTTTCCATTATTAATGGAAAGTGTTATTGGGGAGACGTGGTGGGGGGGTGGGCGCTTTGGGATGTGCTCTCCACCTTTGATTAAATGATGTTTAAAAACATATTCAAAGGATTTTTTTTTTTTTATCTCAGCTCTCACAGCGTGATGTAAGAGCTGAGATACGGGAATTACGTCCTTTCATTTACCGCGGTAAATGAAAGGACTTTTAAAGGCCTTCCAGGACAAAATTACAGCGGTCGTGAAAGTGCAATTCTTTAGCAACGCTCAATGTAAAAGGAAAAAAAAAAAGACAAGCGAGAAACAGATCGGTAAGATATGGCTTATGAATAATGCAGGGCCGTTTGGAGGGAAGCTGCAAAACAAACAACAGTGCCAACATTTGCTGACCACACTTGGTCTGATGACAAATTCAGAACAAGAAGAGATTTCAATGAGGGACGAGCATTTATCGTATCGTTTATCGTTAAATTGATCGCGATTCAAGTGATGATGTTTGAAAATGCCCTGAAACTGGCTGATTACTGGCCATCAGAAAGTCTGTAAATGTCGATATTTTCCAAAAATGTGATAAAACGCAGTTGCTGTGTGGAGCTTAGAGGGGAAAAATGACTTCTGTATGCAACTGTAGTTCTGAAGGAGCCTATTTTGAAAAGAGGAATGTATTTTAAGATCATTATTAGTGTGTTTTTGGTAACAAAAAAAAGACTAAAGAAATTAGAAATACTTTTAATCATCACTTGCCATCCCAATAAATTCTATAAAATATTGTGATAAAATTTTATGCTTGAGAGTAAATTTCCCAGCCTAAACCCAGTTAAATATTATTACAACTTTTTTATGATAAGTTCAGGAGCAAAAGACACGTTTCGTTGAGTGGGTACATTTATTTACCCATTTATTTTCCATATTGCCACATATTGAATATATTAAATGTATTTAATAATCATTAAATTTACGAGAAGCTACATTTTAAACACTCCTGCGGTTTTCACTGGAAGTTATCAGGTTTTCTAGCCGTGTCTCGGAGCACATATTACTTTTCTAAAGGATATTTGTTGCTTTTTTTTTTATTAACTCTACAAGTAAAGCCCTTTGGGTAATAGAGTGCTTAAAGGATCTTAAATGTCACACATAAAACCACGAAAGTAAGGCTTTTCATTTGCTGAGAAATACAAAAGAATTCCAAAGGGATCTGAATGTTTACAAAGAGAAGCACATCTTAAATTTACCAAGTTTAGCTTTGAATCCCCTCAGGAGAGAATCTCCTCCTGCAAATATCTGCTCTTCTGAAGCTATTTATGCAGCATTTATGTATTTATATTATCTCCACCGCGTCATTTTATTTTTTAATGTGGTGTCTTTTAATATTTTAACGCGGACTCTTTCGAGATCAGTGGCTCGGATTATTTAACTGACAGGATTCCCATTTCCTTTGTGCACTCAACTTTTCTCTCGCCTCCACCTTCAGTCTGTCTTTCATATGTTGAATCTGTAGGAGCACCTTTCTTTCTTTCTTTTTTCTTTCTGTCTTTTTTCTTCCTCTCCGCCACCACATCACCGGAGTGATGAGTTCTATTTTTACCCCCCATCTTCTGTTTTCAGACGACTCCCGGTGTGCCGAAGCGGTATTTCCGGCACATCAAGAACCTGATAGCAGCCTTCCAGAAGCGGGGACAGGGAATTGCCATGCCTCTGCTCTACCCCGTCACGGCTCAGAGGCGGGCGCAGACCCACGCCGAGGAGCAGCAGCAGCAGACGCCTGGTAATGGCCTGTCGTCCGACCACAGCCCCTACCTGCAGCGTCTGGCGACGCCCGTCGCTCAGGAGCCGAAAAACAGGAGCAAGAAGGAGGTGGCGCAAGCTTTTGGTTAGAGAGGGTCGAACCCAAACAATGATTGAACACCAAAATTCAATGTTCTCGAATCTCATTTCTTTCTGCCAGTTTTTCTTTTTTCTTTTTCTCTGAAACATTAATATCTATTACTGCACACATGAGTTTGACGACAAAAAAAAATAAAAAATGTTAGTGGGCGGCGAAGAAAATAAACGATTTTGTCTGAAAGAAGCTCTCTTAAATAAGGTCACGCTTACACAGCCAAAGCCTCGGACTGACAACATAATGTGGTGGGGAAAAAAAATTCAATTTGACATATTGAAGTAGCGATTTTCACGGGGAGAATGCTGACTGCAGTAGGGTAGGGGTGGGCAGGTGTGTGTGTGTGTGTAATCAGTCACTTTTCTGACTGACATCAAGAAAAAACATGGGTGAGGAACACACAGAAAGGCGAGAAAACAGTGAGAGCATCCTCAGCCCAGACTATTCTTCAGTGCAGCGGTCTCCTAGCAACCAAAGGACCCTCCATCTTTTCTTTTTTTTTTTTTTTCCTCCTTCTTCACCGCAGCAGAGATGAGCTTGGATGCTAGTGGAGCATATGTTTTAGATAGGAAGAGGCTCATCACAGTCGATCAGCAACGTTGCTACTCAGAAACGTATACATCACCTGTTCGCAGTCAGAACATATGCATTGTGTGTCTGCGCCGCCGTCCACAGCCTACGGAGAGAGAAGCGCGACAATTAATGCTGGGCAGATGGCGAAGCGACGGCGTGGAGGGAGGGAGAGGCGAGTGGGGAAAGGGGAGGTGGATTAGTGGTAACTTGCTTTTTCTTCTTCTTTTTTTTTTTTTTTTAGAAAAAAAAGGGAAAACTAACTTTTTTTTAACGTTTGCTTTTTTTGTACTTTTTTTTTCTTCAGCTTGGAAGTGGTTTGCAGCATAGTCTGATTGGCATTTCCTAATGAGAGGAGACAAGCTGTAGCGAACAGCACAGCCAACTCCAGGTCCTGCCCCTTCTGCACTCACCGCCCACTCGCTGAGCCTCAGCTGTCACATATCTTTCCCTTCCTCTGTGCTTTTTTTTTTTCTTTCTCCTCCTCCTCCACCTCCTCCTCCTCCTCTTCTTCTTCTTCTTCGCTTCTGACAGACGCAGGTTTCTCATGCATATCTCGGTTTGAGCCATAATGATGGGTGATAATGACAGCACAGATTTGAAAGTTACAACTTCCGAGAAGCAAGAACAAAGAGGGAGCCCGGCTAAAAAAAAAAAAAAAGTGGTGGGAAAGGGAAGGACACCATCGAGGCACACGGAGAAATAAGAAGCAACAGTTCCCTCGCAATGAAAAGGGGATTAAAGTCTTTAAGTTTTATACAAACACGAGTTTAACCTAACGGGTAGCTATTTTTTTTTATTAACAAACTCACTTTAAATCCAGTTTGTCTATTGTAGAGCAAGTCCACTTTTCAATTTAACTGTTTTGTTAAGTTGAGAAAACAAGCCATGCGGCTTAGCAACTCGACAGTTTATTTTTATTTTAATATGTCAATTATTCCTGTTATTTCCTGTTTATTCACTTGGTTCTGATATGTCTTCGAAAGTGTTAGCTGGTATTCTGTACACAGTTTTCACTAAATGCCAGCTGACCGGTTCTATTTAGGAGTATCTTATTGCACTTTTGTTATAAATCTTTGTATTTTGCGAATTCATATTTCATTACACAGCTGTTTTTTGGCTGCAAGTGTAAAACTTCTTAGAGAATAACATAAGCTACACACATGGTGTGTGTTGTCCAGAGGAGATGGTTGTGGCCGAGTTATTAATTTGGGCTTAATTATTATTTTTTTTAATCATTTTTTAATTATTATCGAAGTTTTGGTTGAGAAACTTAATTTAGAGCAAGAATTTCAGTTAGCATCCATGTTTAGCTAGCTTAACCACAGAGCTAACGCTAGAGTCAACCTTTTCCTTCGTAACTACGCACTTCTTAATGAACAAATAATTAAGTAGAACTAAAACCAACCAACAGAAATCAACGGTGACCGGTTTTTAACATTAGCTGCGTATTAGTTGGACAACATGAGCTGCTCTTTGGAGCGAGGTGACTATCCTAGCTAAACAAATTTATTAGAATTGAATTGAAGGTTTTTAACGAATCAAAATGTATTCTCATTCGTCAGGTTATATGTTTATAGTCGTGTCAATATAACATTGTAAAGTGCAAGAACTGTCATACAAGCTTCAGAAAGAATCAAAACCAACTAGTTTAGCCACAATGCTAATGCTGAAGTCAAACTTACTAGCTACTCGAGCTTCCTAATCCTGAAGGGGAACCCAGATTGAGAGCGGCGACACCAAATTACGTCATTATACGTCATGCTGATGTGTGCAGAAAAATAATTTTTTTGTGGATTTGAACTAAATAAAGTTATCCATTTGTGCCACGAGGTGCCATAGCCTACTATAAGAAGCATAAATAAATTGCTTTCTACACTAAGATAAATTCGTAATACTGCAAAATCTTTACTATGTAAATCTTTCTAACAGCAGCAAATATTACCTTCCTTCTACATGCATTTTCATTTACACTCGTGAGAAATTAATCACCAGGCAAGATATTTATTGCCATTGTCCTTAAAGTGGTGAAATTGCGGATCATATGTAGTTTTCAGCTTCAAAAATTTATATTTTCTCTTCTACTTTTCCACCAAAATACAACCATAGAAGAACTACCAAGATGTAATAGCATTTACGCTTATTAATCAGCTCCTCAGAATTATACAGAGCTTGAAACAATTGCTGCATCTTTTAGTGTTGGCAGCTGACCAGAAATTAATAGAAAATAATAGGGGTGTATAGATGCATGTCTGACGCCGCTGGTGTGCGCTGTCCTTGAGACAGATTTTGCTAACAAAAAGCTGTGGTTGTCTTTAACATATTTTGTAGAAGCTTATTAATATCTCACTCTTTTTATTTGTACTAATGTTTAAGATTAAGGACAAAGTAGATGACTTCAAAACAGTGTCTCGTACCATCAATGTTTGTCTGGCTGCAATGTCATTGGCAGTAAAAAAGGGACTTGTCTGCTTCGGTAAAACTGTGCAGATTACTGTGAAATCTGTCAAACTATATTATTATTTACAAGATAGCTTCTGTATCGATCCAGCTAAGCTTTTTAAGTTGCAAATGTATATTAAGAAAGATGTTGGATTGAGAAATTTTCAGCACAAACTGTTATCCTGGTTTATTGTTCCCATGTTTTGTACTTGCAATTGATAAATAAAATAGAAATTGATCAATGTTTTCCATTTTTTTTAATTTAAGGTTGATGTAAAACAGGATTGGTAGAACCTAGAAAATTTCATTTTAGACAATATAAAATCTAAAAACATTAGTAAGAATTTTGTTAAGTAGATTTTAAAAACTGGTTGGTATTTCTTTCTTTTTTTTGTCCTTTTAGCTGATGCAGTACGGAGGTTTCTTGGGGTTAAGGACCAAAGCTGCACATAAATAGCTAAAACCCTCCCTAAAACATGAACTACCCATTTCAATAGTTCACTATGCATTCATTCCTACAGTGGAAACTGTCTTACCACAACTGCAGTAGCCATTTTTCTACTTTTGAGGGTTCAGCCAATTAGGACCAAGGAAAACAAATGGCGCTCCTGGATTGGCTGTTTACAAGCACCAGCCAATAGCGTGCCATCTAGCATTGTGCCTGGGTATTTCAGCTTCCCCAGCTGCATTTTGTTTGACTATTGTAAAGTAATCTGTGAATAGGTTTCCACAAGTAATTTGGAATCACGTTCCAGAGAAAAATCCAAGAATAGTGAATGTCGGACCGCCACTGTACATCACTCTTTTATCAAGAAATGGTTAAAAATTAATACACATATTTTATTTCCTGAATTTTCACAATTTGTTTTACCAGTGTAACATGAAATCTCAGGGAACAACCTGGTAATTCACACATAATAACTTTAATCAGCATTGTAACCCAATAAAGTGAGCTTTCTTTTTTAGCGAGAATAATTACTATAGCCATGTATAATCTTTGCAAAAAAATGTAACAGATCTTCTATTGATTAACAATACTGACACTTATGAACAACATAATTTTCAGTTGAGCACTTTTTTTTTCAGTGTGAAAGCACTGGCTATGTACATTCTTGATTTTAGTATACACACTCATACAAACTACAGTTGGAGCACACCAGAGGTGGAAACCACAGCAGGTTTCTTCTCTAAAGGGGAGTGCCAGAGTCAACAAGGCCTCTCTTACACAATATGTAAACGGTAGTATATCCGAGGTAAACCAGTGGGGGGAACTCAAATGGCAACCGGAGAGCTCGTGATGGGAGTCATGAAGAGGATCGTTCACTGGCCACCCTTAAGTCTTCCATCTTTGTAGTTCAGTGGTTTTTAAACATGGTCCCAAATGATTGAACAGTGTTGAAACAGTAAATGGCAGATTGTCAGTCCATCAGTCAGTCCGTCCGTCAGTCAGGATACAAAAAGCAAAGCCACAGCCAAACCACACCGCTTGTGCCACTGTTAGAAATCGGAGAAACTGGACGATAATAATAAAATACCATCATTTTGTCACAATTAAAGGCATTTGGAAGTTTGTTTTTTTCCCCTCCCCCCATTCTCTCTTCTTGTTCTCCGTAGTTATCGTCTTCTTTTTTGTTTTTCAGTAAAGTATAGAAACAGTAGAACAAATCAGAGCAGAGTAGAAACAGGCAGTCTTTGGTGGGATGGGGGGCTGTTTGTGTGTCTCTGTTACCTGCCCCCCACCTCGCTAAGTGTCATAAAGTGGATGTTGGAGGGGCAGTCGGACAGCTCCGGCTGCTGCTCTATAGGCAGGGAGTAGTAGCCTTCGTAACCCTGAACGCGGCCGCCGGACAGCAGCTGCTGCTTCTCCGCCTCGCTCCACGATCGGCTCCCAACGTCCCCCAAATCCAACCGCTTCCTCTCCTTCTCCCAAGCGCCCTCCACCGCCCTCTTTCTCGCCTCCTCCCTCACCCGCGCCCTCTCCTCCTCCTCCGTTCCACCGTAGCGCACGCACAGGCACAGCGGCCCCTGCTGGAGGGTGATGTCGGCGAAGCGTCGAGTCCTGCCGTTCACCGTGGCGCTCATTTGGGACACGCTCACGTTGACGCCGCTCTCCAGGATGCGTCCCCCGACGCCCAGCCCCAGGGCGAGGTCCTCCTCGATGGGACGGGACTGCAGGAAGTGGTGCGTGTCGCAGCCGTGCACGGTGAAGCTCAGCCCGGTGAGGTGGACGGCGCTGTTCAAGATGGCCGCCACCCGCCGGCTGTCCTCGCTGGCCACCCCGATGACTTCCGCGCTCACCCGACCGTGCGACACCGCAAAGCGGATGTTGGGGCCAAGAATGAAGGGTCGGGAGCCGAAGGGCGGAGGACGAGACGGCCGGTGGCAAGCTGAGCCCACGGGCTCGGAGACCAGAGGTAACCTCTCCAGGGAGATGAAGCTCCTCAGCTGTCTCCGCAGTTCACACTGGATTCCCAACACCATCTAGGGAAAAAATGGGACATTTATATTGTGCAGCTGGGATTAATGTTTTGTGATTTATGTTTATTGTAGCTGCCTTTACATGTAGAAAACATTGCTAATTCAAACGTTGCTAATAATGAAGTATGCACACGACCGTATAAGTGGTTTAAGAGGTCAGACCGATGTGACACTGTAACATTGTAACATCTGTCATCAGCTACGTTCACTGCAGCTAAATCCGATTTTGTTTGCCCTTACGTGACTCGTATCTGATGTTTTTATGACGGTCTGAACAACATAAATCAGATTTTTACAATTGCGACCTAAATCCTAAATCCTGTCTGTACGGCCAGGTCACGTTCATCCGACCTGAAAGTCATTGATACTCGACAAACGTCACCATTCTGCGTCCTGATTGATGAAAGCGGGAACAAAAACACCAAACATGGCGGATGATGATGATGATAAGGATTAAGTTGGTAATGTGCTTACTCCGTTTGGATAACAACTTTAAAATCGCAAGATACACTCCACCATTAGCATCCATGTTTACTTCAGCAAGCACTGAGCACGCTCACTGCGCGTCTCGTGACTGCGTTACGTTACGGCATTATGCTGAGAGACTGCAAAACAAAATCAGATTTCACAAAAAATTGGAGTTCAGCATCAAGAACTGCAGCATGAACGTAGCTACAGACATGAAGGAGTCCTCAGGAATGTTTACAACAGTTATCATTAAACGTCATTCAGGAAATAATGACGCTTTAAATGCAAATTTGATACTTTTTCAATTAAATCTTTCCTTGGCTCTGGTGGCCTTTATTTGACAGTGAATTGACAAGAAAGTAGGTTGTGAGAAAAGGGAACGATGTGGCAAATATAAATGTGACTCGAATATGTGAAAATGCGTGGAGGACTGAGGCCTCCGTAAATGGGTCGCACACTTTACCCGCCTCAACGTTGACACTTTCAATGCATTAAAAGTGTCATTCACCAAATGACACTTAATTTAAAGTTAGTATTGGGCACACCCCGTCAACTAAAGTGTTCCTGTTTAATCCTGCCAGGACCTGGAAATATGGTCGCAAAACAGCAAAAAAATAAAAAAATAAATAAAATAAAACCAAACAGTCACTTTGCAAAAGACACAAAACTAAAATTTTCTACTTAAGAAGAGGCTGCCAATAAACTAAAATTAAATCAAAACTACAAACTAATAATTTCAGTCTTCGAAGTGAATGACTTATCATTGACTTTTGGGTGATTTAAGCTTTTATTGTCAATTAGAAAACTAACTCTAAGTCCAGGAAATGACACACAATCAGCAGCCAATTAGTTTCTCTGTGCGTCTGCGGAGGACTTTGGCCTCCACTTACAAGCTGTCTCAAAATGTTAAATGAATTAGATTGATGAGTAATTATGGGAGAAAATGAATCAGGAACATGAATGCTTGGCATAGAAAGAAATAACTGGCAAGATTTTTATTTGCTCAACTCAACTAACTGCTTATTCATTTCACTAATGTTTTTTTTTTTATGCTTCAAAAGTCTGTTTCATTTGAGTTTTCTGTCGTAGCAAAAGTTTAATCTATACAGCCAATCACTTGAGCTAGAAAAGTTTGCTAACCACATGGTACGAGACTCCTACCCACACCCCGTATGCAGCCGAGCTTCACTTTCACAGCATTATTTGGGGTATATCTCTTAACATGGACCCTCTGCCCAGTTTGAGTTTTGCCCATTTGATCTGTCTGGACAGGTTCTGCTTGCATAAAGCAATGTCAGGCAAACCACAGATTCTCATTTGGACTGAGTTGTTTTCTTTAGCTCTGCCAATTGAAGGCAGTGAAACTTATTCCCTGTAAGTGCTCAAGTATGTGTTTGGCATTAGTGTTGTCATGCAAACAGGTCAACTCGATTTAAGACTCACCTCTTAGCAGGACAGCAAATAGTAACATTTATTGATGCTTTAAATTTCAGGGTACTATTAGCCTTGCGGGTCACCAGGCGTTAGCTGCCCCTCCACCAGGATGTTTGTTTATTTTAAATAGGGCTCTTTATAGTGACAGTACAGATGAATTAAGCTAGGCTGAGGGGGTGTGCACCTGTTGCGCAGTTGGCCTCAAGCACTAGTTCCAATTTTTGTAACTTTTAATATTTTCTTAACACAAAAACACGATGGGCCACTGGTGGACTGCACTGTTGCTCCTAACACTGGACTTAATTTGACCAAAAGCAGACAGCATAGACCTACCACGACTGTGGTGATTCCTGGTGAGGAGAATATTCTTTAAGCATTTGTGCTCAAATAGGGCCTAATGATGTTTTTGTATCTATATAATTAAAATACCTCCTTCTGTCCGTCTACAAAAGGAATAGTCCGGGTTGCTCTTACTTTATATTGCTCACCAAATGCAGACATTTTAATATCCACTCTGAAGTCGTGCTGCTCCTCTACGGTAATATTTGGCCTCTTTTGCTACATCCTTGACAAATTCACTGCTCCATTTGGAGAAGTTGTATTTAAAAATAAAAAAAAGAAAGGTTGCAGCCACCATTTATCTGTGATACTAGGATAGACAAATTTTGAAGGGGTTTTAATGTGCTGAATACATGATAGTACTGAAAATAATTCATATCTGGGCCGGTTTGTCGTGGGGAAGTGTCAGGGAATTTTGTACAAATTGAAGGAATGGTCAGTTACAATAAACAAAGAGAAAGGATGTTCAGGTCTCTTTTTCTCAAGAGTAGAAACTGAAATGAAAGAACAGCTTCCAGGTTTGACGT